AGCTGAAAGAGCTGAAGAAAATTCAAGCCTCCAGTTGCTGTTTTGAAAGACTATATGGGCATAGTTGGAACCGAGTTGACGGCACACAACAACACAATAACAAGGGTCATCCAAGGTGGAGAAGTTTCAGCATTGATAATTACTGGTGATTGGAATATAAAGGTTAGAAATAAAGAGGAAATATCAGTAGTTGGACAATATGATTTTGGTGATAGAAATGATGTTGGAGATCACAGGAAAGAATTTTGCAACACCAATGACTTATTCATTGTAAATACCTTTTAAACAAAATTAAAGTGATTATATACATGGATTTCATCAGATGGAATGCACAAGAATGAAATTGATTAAATCTGTGGAAAGAGATTGTAGAATAGCTCAGTATCATTAGCCAAAACAAGGCCCGGGGCAGATTTGCTCATATGCAAGTCAAGGCTAACGCTGATGAAAATTAAAACAAGTCCACAAGAGTGAAATATGACATTGAATTTATAGATCCACCTGAATTTATAGAACATTACAAGAACAGATTTCATGTATTACACACTAATGATTGAAGATCTGAAGAGTTGTGGGGTGACATTAAGAACATCATGCAGGAAGAAAGCAAAAGTTCATTAAAAAGACAAGAAAGAAAGGAAAGGCCAAAATGTATGCCAGAAGAGACTCTGAAACTTGCTCTAGAGCATGTTGTTGTTGATAAGTGCCATCTAGTCGGTTCTCACCCATAGCAACCCTGTATAGGGTTTCGGAGGAGTGACCTTGCAGTTCAAAGGGCTTTGCAGTCTGGCGCATAAACCCACAGCACCATACCAGGACTCTAACACAGAAAAGCTAAAATGAATGGAAGAAATGAGGAAGTGAAAGTGCTGGACCGAAAAATTTAAAGGGTATTTTGAGAAAACAAAATAAAATATTACAATGAAATGTGCAAAGACCTGGAGTTAGAAAACCAAAAGGGAAGAACATGCTCAGAATTTCTCAAACAGAAAGAATTGAAGCAAAAATTCAAGCTTTGACTTGTAATATTGAAGGATTCTAAGGGCAAAATATTGAATGATGTAGAAAGCATCAAAAGAAGATGGAAGGAATACATAAAAGTCACTGTACCAAAAAAAAAAAAAAAAAGGTTAATGTTCACTCGTTCCAGGAAGTAGACCATGACCAAGAACCAATGAAGCTGAAGTAAGAATTCCAAGCTGCTATGAAAGCACTGGCAAAAAACAATGTTCCAGGAACTGACAGAATACAAATTGAAATCTTTTAACAAACTGATGCAACATTGGAGTTATTCACTTACCTATGCCAGAAAAATCTGAAGACAGCTATGTGTGGTCAACCAACTGGAAGATATCCATATTTGTATACATTCCAATGGAAAGTAGAAACCATTGTACAATATCATTAATATCATAAGCAGGTAAAAATTTTTGTTTACAGTAATTAAAACATGGTTGCCCACAGCACATGGGCAGGGAGCTGTCAGAAATTCATGTCGGATTCAGAAGAGGACATGGAACGAGGGATATCATTGCTGACGTCAGATGAATCTTGACTGAAAGCACAGAATACAAGAAAGATGTTTCTTTGTGCTTTATTGACTATGCAAAGGCTTTCAGCTATGTGGATCATGACAAGTTATAGATAACATTGCAAAGAATGGGTATTCCAGATCACTTAATTGTGCTCTTGAGGAACTTGTACCTGACCAGAAACAGTTGTTGGAAGAGCACTAGAGGATACTGAATGTTTTAAAATCAGGAAATGTACACCAGGGTTGTAACTTTTCATCATACTTATGCAATCTGTATGCTAAACAAATAATCCTCAAAACTGGATTACATGAAGAAGAATGTGGCATCAGGATTGGAGGAAGACTCATTAAAAATCTGAGATATGCAGACAATACAACCTTGTTTGATGGAAGTGAAGAGGACTTAAAATACTTACTGATGAAAATTATAGACTACACCCTTCAGCATGGATTGCACCTCAATGTAAAGAAAACAAAAATCCTCACCACTAGAATAGTAAATAACATCATGATAAAAACAGAGAAAAGACTGAAGTTGTCAAAGACTTTAGTTTACTTGAATCTATCATTAACATCAACACTCAAGGAAGCAGCAGTCCAGAAATCAAAGACGTATTGAATTAAGCATATCTGCAGCAAAAGAACTAAGAGATCAGTTTGAGGATTAATGTGTGCCAACTAAAGCCCTAGCATTTTCAATTGCCTCATATACATGTGAAAGTTGGACAATGAATAAGGAAGTTTGTAGAAGAATACATTAGAATGCATTTGAATTACATTTGGATTGCCTGAAGAAAAAACCAAATCTTTCTTAGAAGAAGAAGCACAGCCCAGATGCTCCTTAGAATCTAGGATGGTGAGATTTTTCGCACCTCTGATACTTTGGACATGTTACAAGCACAGTGACAGGGAACTGCTGGAAACTCAAGTCGGATGTGGAGACTAAGAGGCAGTTGCTGAAACAGAACAAGGAGATACTGTATGGTTTAAAATCATGAAAGGTTTGTGTCCGGGCTGTCCTTTTATCCATACTTATTCCATCTGTATGCTGAGCAAACAATCTGAGACACTGGAGTATTTGAAGAAGAAGCTGTGTCAAGATTGGAAGAAGACTTATTAACAATTTGTGATATGCAGAGGACAAAACCTAGCTTGCTGAAAGGCAAGATACTTCAAGCACTTACTTACTGATAAAGATCAAGGACTACAACGTTCAGTATGGGTTATGTTGTTAAAGTGCTTTGGAGTTGATTCCGACCCCTAACGGGTTTCCTTGGGTTTTCAAGGAGCAGTTGGTGAGCTTGAACCACCCACCTTGCAGTTCAAATGACTTTGCAGTCTGACGTATTAGCCCACAGTGACACATGAGGACTCTAGTATGGGTTATTGTTGTTGTTGTTGTTAAGTACCATGGAGTTGGTTCTGACTCATAGTGACCCTGCACAGGGTTTCTGAGGCTGCAAATCTTTACAGGAGCAGAAAGGCTCATCTTTCTCCTGCAGAACAGCTGGTAGTTTCGAACTGCTGACCATGAGATTAGCAGCCCGATTTGTAACCACTATGTTACCAGAGCTCCTTAGTATGGGTTATACTTCAATATAAATAAAATAAAAGTCGTCACAAGTGGACCAATAAACATCGTCATGGTAACAAAAAAAAAAAAACCATAGAAGTTGTCAAGGACTTCATTTTACTCCAATCTACTATCAACACCCATGGAAGCAAGAACCACAAGATGTATTGCATTGCACAAATCTGCTGCAAAAGATCTCTTTTAAATGTAAAAGAAAAGATGTCACTTTAAATACTAAGGCATGTCTGACCAAAGGCACGTGTATTTTCAATCACCTTATATTCTTGCGAAAACTGGATAATGAGTAAGATCACAGAAGAATTGATGTCTTTGAATTATGCTGTTGGTGAAAAATATTAAATATGAAGGGGCTTCAAAAAGTTTGTGGAAAGTGGACTTAAAAAATAATGAAATCTTTCCTTTACGCCCTCTAGTATGCTGTGCACTGTCAGAACAAAGAACCAATCTGTTTTAGAAGTACAGCCAGAATGCGCCTTAGAATTACGGCTGTCAAGACTGGATACTATAGCTGGAGGGACCAGTCCTAGGAAGACATTATGCTTGGTATTTGTTGTTTTTAAGTGCTGTCGAGTCAATCCGACTCATAAGTACCCTGTATAAGTTTCCGAGGAGTAGCTGGTGAGTTTGAATTGCCGATCTTGCAGGTCAAACGGCTTTGCAGTCTGGCTCATTAACCCACAGCGCCACACTAGGACTCAATGCTTGGTATTGTTAGGTGCCATCGAGTCGGTCTTATGCACAGCTTGGTCCATGAAAAAGAGATTGACATAGTAGCTGCCAACAGTGAGCTCAAACACAGCGAATGTTGTGAGGATGGTGCAGGACCAGGCAGTGTTTCGTTCTGTGGTATATGGGATCACTATGAGTGGGAACCAACTGGCAGGCACCTAACAACCCTCGCGAAAAGTATTCTTAAATTATTGATGTACCTAATAAGTGAAGTTTAAGTATTAAAATAAGAAAGTTTAAGTATTAAAATCACAGTAAAGCACATTTTCCCAAAGACAACAAAGTTAGAAGCCACCTGGGATAACGAATGTCCTTGTGTCAACGGCGTGGCGTTATGCCTATGAATGCAGGTGGCACAAATTTTAAGGCCATAATCCACGTGGAACGCACAAAATCTGAGCAAGTTTACAAGAAGTACAATCGACCTCGGCCAGGTCAAAAAGAAGGAGAGAAAGTCAAGGACTGGGAGCCGCTACGAACGCTTACGGCATTGCACGAGCGTCAAGCCCAGGAGCCAATGCAAAACCCAAGCCTCTGACGTCTGCCGACTGCGCTCCTCTCCCTGGAGGCTCCACCCACTCCTCGCTCCTGAGCACGCTCGAGGTCTCAAGAGGTGTGGGATGCAAGGGTGAGAGGAGGAAGCGCATGCGCCTTTTGACTCCAGACAGCGCGCTCGCAATATCGCGAGAGTTGGCAGTCGGTGGCGTAGGTAGTTGTGGTTGCTGGCGTGATAGATGCTATACGCCGTACGAAGAAGAGAAGGAGGTGAAGCTAGTTCCTCACTCAGTCTCTCTTTCGCTTTCCCTTCCCTTCCCCCCACCCCTCCTCTCTCCACTAAATCAGCCTGCCTTCCCTGACCTCGGTGACCCGTCTGGCCCCGCCCACTCTCGTCGACGCGATTCCCGCCGTCAGGTAAGCAGCGGGTCGTACCCGGAGCGCGGCGGAGGAGACGGTCTACGACCAGGAGGAGGCTGCCGTCTTCCGCTCAGGCCTGTCACGCAGCCGCTGCGCGGGAGAGCTTTCGGGGAGCCCTCTTGGCGCCTCCATCTGCTCAATACGACGTAACCACCCAGGCCTAGGCTCCTTCCTCCATCCCTGCCAGTCCCAGCCTCCGGCAGCAGCGGCTGACGCAGACGGAACATCATGTCGTCCGCGGCCGAGCCTCCGCCACCCCCGCCTCCCGAGAGCGCGCCTTCCAAATCTGCAGCCTCGGCCGCCAGCGGCGGGAGTATCAACAGCAACAAAGGCAGCGCGGAGGGCGGTGCATCCCAAGCGCCTTTCTCTGCGGTCAGCGCCGGCTCGGCGGATGCCGAGATGGAGGTGAGGGAGCTGAGGCGGCGTGTGGCGTGGGTCCCGCGAACTGAGTGTCGTGTTTAAGCACAGAGCCCCCACTTCCCTTCTCTGTACCCGACTCGGGTCCTCTGGGTCCGGCGAGTGCTTTGGCCGTGGCGTCCTTGTGCTTCCTTGCCGATTATGAGTTCGGGACAGTTTGCATGTGAATGACCTGCAGCTGTCGCTCGCTTTCACCCAGGTCTTCTGGATTGCCAGGGCCGAGGGGGAGCCCCCGCTTTCTTTCACTGGACTCTCACTAGCCCTTTCCGATCTCTGCAAATCTGGGTTTTCCTTCCTCCGAAAGTCAGGGGAGGGCCGCGGGATGTGCCGCTGAGAGGAGGGAGACTGCTGCGGGGAGAGGCCGGCGGCGCACCCGAGGACCTAGGCCTGCTTCCCGGTAGTCCGGGGCCCTTGCGGGGGCGGTATCTGTTTTTGGCAGAAACAATAGCGAGAGCTGGACGGCCGAGTGCGCAGTAGGGATAAGCGGGGCGCAGCTGCTCAGGGAGAGGGAGACGAGGCCCCTCCAGACACGGCCCAACGGGGAGGGGGCTTGGCCAAGGCATCGGCAGCTGTCTTAGATCCAACCCTTATAATTTTGGAGGGATGGATGGGTGGATGAATGGGGCGATGGGTTGGCTTCCAGTCCAGCGCAGCTCCTCTTCTCTCTCTGTGGGCATTGTCTTCCATTTTTTAAAAAGAAGTCATTTTAAATTAATACTCGCTGATCGCGGAGCCTTGGGGGCCACAGGGATTGTGACTATACTTTGGGGGTGGAACGAGGGATTTGCTAAATGAGCTCTCTCGGGGCATCTCAAGTGGGAACAAAGTGGTTGCTTCTAAGATTTTTGTTCTTGGTCCTCGACCTGCTTTGAGATATTTTAGCATCTCAGCCCAAGCACTTCTGGGACGTTTTCCATCCTTAGACCGATGAATGTGAGAGTGCTCTAAAAAGGTACACTGATGCAGAATTAATAAAGAAATGGCAGTGTGGTTTACCAGCCAGGCATTTGCGGCAGTAGTTTTATTTGGGCATCAAAAGTCTAATTAATTTAGGGCAAAGAAATTGACATCATATTAGTTTTTGAGAGTACTTTTAGTGGTGAGGGTTGTTTTTAACAGAATAAAAAATCTGATACTCTATAGTTTTCAGAGACGAATTGTTGCACAGAAAGGCATATCCAGTGTTGGCCTTCCCTTCTCATCCTCACAAGCATCTAATCAATTCTAATTGAGAGCCATCCTATATAAGGTTTCTGAGATGGGTTGTCAGGTCTTTTAAACTAGGATTCTTACTCTGGGTTCAGAAGTTCAAAAACAGTGACGTTAAAAGCAAAATTGTGTGTGAATGCAAGTTTCTGCAGAGATGTTCATAGTTTTCATTAATTTCTCAAAGGTTCTGTCATTCAGCCTTTGGAATAACAACAAATAGATGTCTCACCTGAGGTCTTATTTAAATATCAAAAAGCAAAATAATTCAAAACTTAAATAAAAGTTTTGATTTATGTTGTTAAGTTATAATTATATTTTAATCATGAATGTCAATGTAATGGTAACCATAATAGAAAGTCAGACTCTTGGTGTGGCTCTATAGGATTAGTACTCAACTGTGAACCACAAATTCAGTTTAAGCCCACCAGCTCCTGCTCTTCTGAAAGCCTCTATAGGGTCACTCTGAGGAACAAACTGGACAGCACTTAACACCACCACTCGTAGGGAGGGAGTTGGTGATAGTTCCCTTTGCTAGATGAGGAAATTGAGTATTTTGATAAAGTAGAACCTGTAATTAAACCCAGATCCTACTCCATAACTGATCCTTTTCCCACACATCTTAATTGGTCACAATAACTCACAATTTATGAGTTAACAATAATTTACAATTTGTGAGTTATTTATTTTTACTTTTTCAGTATGGGAATGTTGTTTGTGCCATCGAGTTGATTCCGACCTATAGCAACACTGTATAGGGTTTCCAAGGAGCCACTGGTGAGCTTGAATATCTTGAATGACTTGGCAGTCTGATGCATTAGCCCACAGCTTTCATTGATAGTTTTGATTGTTTTCAAATGTTGCATTTACATATATATAAACATATACATAGGTAGTCCTGGTGTGGCACTGTGGGTTAATGCACTGAACTGAAAAATTGGTTTGAACCACAAGGTCAGTGGTTCAAGCTCACCAGTTGCTACTCCGAAACCCTGTACAGGGTCTCTACCAGTTGGGCTGCTAACCTCAAGGTCAGCCATTCTAAACTACGAGCTGTTAGCTGTTAGCTGTTCCAAGGGAGAAAGATGAGTCTTTCTGCTCCTCTTGATATTTGCAGCCTCGGAAACCCTATATTGGGTCTCTGTGAGTCAGAACCGACTGTACAGTGCATCAGCACCATGAGCCGGAACAGACCCCATGGCACTTAACAACAACAACGTATACACATGCATGTGTGTATGTGTATATATACATATATACATACTTTTATATCTGTGTATGTATATATGTATATACACCCATATGCACACACACAATTCCTGATGTGGTGCTATGGGTTAATGCGCTGGACTACAAAGTTGGTTAGAACCTGAAAGTCGGCAGTTCTAGCTCAACAGCTGCTCCTCAGGTATGCTGGTGGTGTTAAGAGCTATCAAGTCATTTATATATCAAGTATAGGGTTTCCAAGGAGCAACTGCTGAGGCGACCTTGTTCAAATGACTGTACAGTCCAGTGCATTAACCCACAGCGCCATATCAGGACCCCATACATACACACACATATGGAGCCCTGGTGTGGCGCCATAGCACTTGACTTCAAGATTGGTTTGAACAGCAGCGTCAGCGGTTCAAACCTACCAGTCACTTCTATACAGGGTGGCTGTGAGTCAGAACTGACTTGATGGCACTTCACAGCAACTAGTATATACGTAAAATTTTGTAAAGCAAATTTGCTCTCAGTCTTTTTTTTTTTTTTTAAGTCTGAATTTAGAAATTGCCAAGTTCACTGATAAAAGCCTGGGCTTGAGCATACAGGCATTAAATGCCTTAGTCTTAATCTATTTCACCATTTGTAAAAAGATAATTTAAAGTAGAGTATTTCCAAAAATGGGAAAGAAATGATACTCTGTCCTAACTAATGTTTTTCTGACAATTTACTCTCCTAGAAGTATTAGCTGTAATGTTCCTGTGTGTTCAGTTAATCTTTTTGTTTGATAAGTCAAGGAAGCAATTCTGTTTTTTATTTACTAGTATGTCTTTTTAGTGATGTGGAACCTGTCTTTGTCTACCTTCATTTCTCACTATTGAATAGACTCTGAAAGAGGCACATTATATGCCAATAGTTATATGACATCAAGATGCCTACAATATGAACGTTTTTGCTGTGAGAGAGTTAATGACTGCTGTTGGGAAAGTACATTTTTCAGTGTGTATTTGATCTCTTATGTACTCCAGCATTTTGTGAAGTTGGCTACGTAGGTGGCTTTGCCATTTTTATACATCGAAACTAGAGATTTATGGGAGTTCTGGTATGGTGCTGTGGGATAATGCATTAGACCTCAAGGTCCATTTGAACTGCAAGGTCATTGGTTCATGTTCACCAGCCCCTCCTGGAAATCCTGTAGAGGTTGCTGTGAGTGGCACTTAGACAACAACAAAAAGAAGAGATTTATGATAAACATTAGGTTATATAGGTGCATGAGGTGTTTTGGAGTCCTGGTATGGTTCTGTAGGATAAACACTGCACTGGTAACTTCAAGGTCGACAGTTCAAACCCACCAGTCTCTCTAGGAAACAACATAGGGTTGTCGTGATGAGTCAAACCCAACACAGAAACAAAGGGTCTTAGTAGTGAAGTGTTATATTTGAATTTAGGTAATTTGATCTCTTATTATTAAAACCATCCTCTCGTCATCACATTTTTATTGCAGAAAACTTTATTATAGCATGGCTGCTTGCTAATGGCAAGGTCAGTAGTTTGAATCTACCCATTGCTCTAGTGGAGAAAGATGAGGCTATTTGCTCCCATAAAAATGTATAGCCTTTGGAAAATTTTGTACAGGGTTGCTATGATTTCGGAACTAACTCGATGACATGCAACCACCTATGAACACAGCTTTTGTACACCATTAATGAAAATTGTGCTTTTACCAATTGTAAATTTTTTTGTTTTTAATGGATGAATAGAACTTTTCAGTATAGAACTTTTCTGATTTTTTTTTTTTTTTTTTTAAGTGGCATTCAAAATGTTGGGGTAAATATGTTTGTAAGAAAAGCACATTTCTTACAAATTTAAGAATCAAGCTGTAGTTAAAGAATATTCAATTTGGATTATGCGATGTTTTTGTAATATCCCAAAAGGTGAAAATCTGGGTTAACTAATAGTGCTACTTCTAGGTGTACATTGTGTAGTCTAGACAGTGGTTGATTGGTTATGTGTGGTGGAGTCGGTTCCGACTTATAGCGACCCTGTTCAGGGTTTCTGAAGCTGTAAATCTTTACGGGAGCAGAAAGCCCCATCTTTCTTCTGAGGAATAATTGGTAGTTTCAAACTGCTTGACCTTGTGGTGGTTTGCAGCCCGATTCATAACCGCTACGCTACCAGAGCTCCTCCTAGTAAAGGGGAAAAGGTGTTTTTCCCTCATACTTGATGCTGTTTATTTATTTTTTTCCCCACAGTTATGGCTTAGAAAAAGAAACAGTTGCCCATATGAATTTTATTGAAGCTAATTTTATTCTAGAATGATACAGATACTCTTGTATTTTAATTTCATTTAGCCATACAGTTTCCACGTTTGGGTTAGATAGCTTGTTATCCCCTTGATATTTAATTTAGATATATTATAAGGTAAGATGATAGCCAAATATTTTATAGAAAGTGTGGGGAAGAGTACATTATTTGGAATGTGATTTGGGCAGAAATCAGTCTTCAGTGGTGTTGACTATTCTTTAAAAAAAAAAAAAAAAAATCCGTATTTTCTTCTCTCCCAGGAAGTATTTGATGATGCATCACCAGGAAAGCAGAAAGAAGTCCAGGAACCAGATCCAACTTATGAAGAAAAAATGGTATGTCCTAGGCATATGAATAATATGAATAGGGTCTGTAATGAAACCTTTTTATTTGGTGGTTAAAGGTACTAAATGTTCATGTTTAATTTTACTAAACTGGAGTACCCGCCCATTAAAATGAAAGTACTGTGAGATATTATAACAATCATTTATCTACATAAAGTAAATAGAGTTACGTGAATTAATATAATTTGCATTTTATTGGCACTATATTTAGTTTAAGATTTTAGCATCTGGAGGAAAAGTGAATTAAATATCAGGAAATAATATTTATTGAGCATAATTTTTCTGCATCTGTCTAGCAGATAAAAGAAATATGCTCATTGTCCATAGTATTTTTTTTATAATACCAGAGGTCTTCTCGCAGTTCATGAAAAATGGAATTAAAAGATGAAAGATAAAAATTTAAAAAAATACAAATTATTTCTCAACATTAGCTCCTTCAAGTTCAAGACACTTTGTGAGTGATAATGCCAACCATTTAGTCTATCCCTAAAGAACTGATTGTCCTGGGTGTTTAACTGTGTCAGTGCAGTATTTTGCATTATTAACCGAATAAAAATGGGTGCCCTTTAAAGATTTTTTAAGATTAAGAAATGAAAAGAAGTGAGAAGATGCTGATTCAGGACTGTAAAGTGGATGTCTAATGATTTCCCATTGAAACTCGCCCAAAATTACCCTGATGAAGAGGAATGAGCAGGACGTTGTCGCGATAGAGAAGGACTCTGGTGAAGCTTGTCCAGTTGTTTTTCTGTTAAAGCCTTGGCTAACTTTCTTAAAACACTCTCCTAAGAAGTTAAGTGTTGTCGAGTCGGTTCTGACTCATAGCAACTCTGTACAGGGTTTCCGAGGCTGTAAATCTTTACAGGAGCAGAAAGCCTCATCTTTTTCCTGCAGAACTGCTGGTAGTTTCAAACTGTTGACCTTGAGATTAGCAGTCCAATTCATAACCATTCCGCTACCAGAGCTCTTAAGAAGTAGCTGTGATCATTCTTTGGTCCTCCAGAAAGTCAACAGGTGAAATACCTTGAATATTCCAAAAAGTGCTGGCTATGACCTTTGGTTTTGGCTACTCCACATTTACTTTGACTGGACCATTGTTCTCTCTTGGTAGCTATTGCTTTGATGTGCTTTGTTTTCAGTATTGGGCTGGTAAAGAAGCCATGCTTCATCTACAACATTTCTTTGAATAAATGATTTGAAGAGATGCTTTGATTCATGATCCACTTATTTAAAATTTCCCTTGAAAGCTCCGTTATTGTCTGCAGTTGACCAGGGTGCAATAGTTTTGGCACCCATCAAGTGGAAAGTTTGCTGTGCTTTGATTTTTCAGTCAGAATTCTGTGTAGCTGACCCAGAGATGTCTGTGGTGCTGACTATTGTTTCTGCTATAATTGTCTGTCCTCTTCAATTGGGGCATGAACCAGATGAATTATTTCCTTGCAAATTGGTGTGATTGATTTGCTGCTGTGGTCCCTTCTTTTTTTTTTTATTCACTGGAGACAGGAGGTTTATTATTGATGCTGTTAGGGGTAGAAAAGGCCCCAGGAGCTGAGTCAGTTAGTGGTTGCAAAAGGCCAAGGCACATGAGGGCAGGTTAGGACACATCTCAAGAGTCTGTGGCTCTTTCCTTAGGGATGTGAGAGAACATCTCAGGGAGGGTGCAATTCCAAGAGCAAAGGCAGATGTTAGGTAGGGATGGCTGAGACCCTAACCTGAGGCACCACAATAGGCAGCAACACCTTGTGGAAAAGCTGGATGAAATGGTCAGTAGGGAAGATGGGGAGAGGGCATGAGGCTGCAAAGTGACCCAGCCTTGGCCTGGTGAGCTAATGAGAATACCTGATGTACCCCTTTCCCTGCAGGCTTTCTTAAAGAGGAAAGACATTCAGAGGACATGGGCTTCAGGGAGCACACTGGCAAGGAGTGCCAGAATTAGTCCTTAAGGCACAGCTGGGGGCAGACAAAGCACCAAGGCACCTCTGGTAGGGGGATGGGGCAGCCTCCAAGCTGAGTGCCAGGGTCACAAGAGGATGCAGGACCGCCCACACTTGACTGGTGTGGGGTTGAGCACAGCCCAGACAGCCTCAGCAAGCACCTCCTTGGCGCCGTCCTCCTGCAGGGCAGAACATTCGAGGTAGCGCACAGCTTGGCCAGTGCTTGGCCCTGCTGTTGGGTGATGGGTGCCTGGCCCTGCTCCTTGAGGCATCGTAAGGTGTCAGGTTGGGCCCTCAGGTCCTTCTTGGTGCCCCTACCCACCAAGAGGATGGGCACATCAGGGCAGTGGTGGCACACCTCTGGATGCCACTTGTGTCGCACATTCTCGTAGGAGGGCGGGCTGGCAATGGAGAAACATGACAAAGATGTTGGTCTGAGGGTAGGAGAGTGTGTGGAGGCGGTCATACTCCTGGCCCGCTGTGTCCCACAGGTTTAGGTTCACTGTGTGCCCATCAACTGCACTCTGGGCACTGTAATTAGTGAACACCATGGGGATGTACTCCTTGGGAAAGGCATTAGTTGTGTAGCATATGAGCAGGCACGTCTTGCCCACGGCTCCATCACCCACCATCACACATTTGATGCTCTGCATGCTGGGTGCAGTTGCTGCAGTGGAGGCAATGCCTCCTCTCTCTTCTGGACCCCTCTGGATGCAGTTACCTGGTGCCCTCCCCATGATGGGGGAGCTGGGGGTGGCGGCAGCAGCTCCGGGCTTCACTGTGGTCCCTTCTTAAAATGAGTTATCCATTTGTAAACTGTTGATTTCTTTGGGGCATTGCCTCTGTGAACTCTGTAAAGCATCAATGATTTCATCATTCTTCCATCCACACTTCACCATAAATTTGATGTTTGTTCTTGCTTCAGTTTTAGTAGAATTCATGTTGCTGAGATAGGGGCTCTATTTAAACTTGTTTTCTCCTTCTTAGTGCCTTAAACTAGATCCTGTGCAGATGTTTTATGACATGGTAGTGTGAACTTTTTTCTAAATTCTGTTTAAAATCTGTATGCAGTTTTTTTTTTTTTTTTTTTTTTAAATAATAGTGCATTTTCCATGAACTTTTTGCAGACCCCTTATATACAAGGGATACTTACCAAAAGAGTTGAATACTAAAGTTCCTGCCTATGTCTGATGTTTATATGGAACATGACTTAAACAGCCAGGAAAGATCATTAAATTTAGATTTAGTTTTAATAATAAGGATGGCTATTAGCAAATGCTTGTATGTACTAGGTACTATTCAAGTGGTTTTTAAAAACTTTTTATTTTGAAGTAAGTGAAGGTTTCCAGAGCACATCATTTGCTTTACATTCAACATACCATATATTTTGCTTCATTACATGCTTGCAATGTCTCTACTACGTTCATTTTTTTCCCTACTAATCTTTGTGTTGTATATTGCCAGCCCTGTCACCCAAGTTAACATGCCTTCTAGTTAATGAAAAATTCCCACCCCACTTCCCAGCCCCGTAACCATCATAGATTGTTTCTTTTATCAAGAAAACTTGGTTTTTTACTTTTTATAACTTTGGTCTTATACAATGTTTGTCCTTTGGTGATTGACTGATTTCATTCAACATAATGATCATGTTGTGAGGTGTTTCACAGATTCGTAATTATTCAGCATTTTATAGTATTTCGTTGTATATGTACCAAAGTTTATTTAGTTATATTCTTCTGTTGGTGAGCATTTAGTCTGTTTCCATTTTTTGGTTAATGTTGCTTGTAGACAGCTTATTGAAGGATCCTGTTTTCTTTTCCATTCTTGCTCTTCATGTCACTTGACTGGTACAAATAATCCATTTACATTCAATTATTTATCAGTAGGTATGAATTGATTGCTGTCATTTTTTGTGTGTATGTGTGTATGGTGCTGTTGGATTCTTTGTTCCACATAATTTTTCATACTGGGTTCACTTTGTGGATTTTCTTTTCATTTCTGTTTTAATATTTACTAAATTTTTCTGATTTCCCACTTTTTAAATTTTGATGTGCAGGTGTATTATTTTTCTTTGTGGTTACTCTGTAATTTATTATTTCCCTGCATTAAAAATCTACTTGATTTCCTTGCCATGTAGAAGTTTTGTATTTACAGTGTTCTCTCTTTTTTTTGTTTTGTAGTTGATTTCTTTATACACTGCTAATCTCTGGTTCCCTTTTTTTTCCAGTCTTGTAGGTTTGTTTTCCTTTAAATAATTTCTGCACAGGACTGCAAGGTCGGTTTGAACTGCTTGGTCAGTGGTTCAAATCCTTCAGCTGCTCCTCGGAAACCGTATACAGAGCTGCTATGAGTCGGAACCAACTTGACGATACTTAGCAACAGCAATAACATATCTGGGTTGAGTTATTGCTGGTGTTGTCATGTATAATAATCTTGGGTTTTTTATTATATGTCTGCTGTTGGTTCTCAGTCCAAAGAACCCCCTTTAGCATTTTTTAGAAAATTGTTGTGGTCATTGCAAGTTCTTTTAATTTCTGTTTACCAGGAAATATCCTGATTTCGCTGTTGTTGTATTTGAGAGACAGTTTTGCTGTGTGTTTGGTTCTTGGTTGGCAATTTTTTTCTTTCAGAGTTATATATAAGTCATCCTATTGCCTTCTTGCCTGCATGGTTTCTGCTCAGAAATTAGAGCTTAGTCTTACTGGTTCTCCTTTGTGTAGGTAACTTTTCTTTTTTCCCAAGCTGCTCTCAGGATTCTTCTCTTGTCTTTGATTTTAGAGTTTGATTTCCATATGTATTGATTTTCTTTTGGGATCTATCCTGTTTGGGGTTCATTCAGCTTCATTTATGCTTATCTTGTTATTCATGGTGTTAGGGAAGTTTTCTTCTCATAATTCTTTAATAGTTTTCTCTGTGCTTGTCTCTTCCTGTTCTGGAATTCCGGGAACCTGTAAGTTGTTCTCTTCATGGTGCCCCACATAACTCTTAGATTTTCTTTGGATTTTTTCATTCTTTTTTTCTGATTATTCTAGCATACTAATACTGAGAGATTTATTTTCA